TTTTTTGATTTACTGTAGAGATGAGGTCTCGCCTGCCCAGGCGGGTCTCGAACCCGCGGGTTCAGGCAATCCACTCACGTCAGCCTCCCAAAGGCACAGGATTACAGGCTGAGCCACCAAGCTCGGCTATTGGTGTTGTTTTAAAAAGCAGAATCAGCATATATCTATCTCTCTCTCTCTCTTTCTCTCTCTCTCTCTCTCTCTCTCTCTTTCTTTCTTTCTTTTTTTCTGAGTCAGGGTCTCACTCTGTTGCCCAGGCTGGAGTGCAGTGGTGTGATCACGAAATCATGGCTCACTGTAGCCTCAATCTCCTGGGCACAGGTGGTCCTCTTGTCTTAGCCTCCTAAGTAGCTGGGACTACAGGCACATGCCACCACATCTAGATAATTTTTTAAACATTTTTATTCTTTAGAGATGAGTTCTCGCTATGTTGTCCAGGCTGGTCTCAAACTCTTGAGCTCAAACAATCCTCCTGCCTCAGCCTCCTGAAGTGCTGGGATTATGGATGTGTGCCACATCACCTGGCCTTTAAAGCCGAATCTCTTTAGGTCATTTCCCAGCACCTTAAGTTATTTGAATACTTGCTTTTTTCTAACATATTTTAATTTTTAGGCTTCTCACACTCCCTTTCTTGTTAATTGGCCCATTTTTTTTTTCTAGTTGTCATTTTCTCCCCTACTCTTCCGGCAAACATGAGCCGCTGGCAAGTCCACACGCTGCCCTGTCCCTATCCGCCTGCATTTGCCATGGCAAGATGACATTTGGCAGGAGGCTGGGCTCTGCCTCTTCCCTTTGAGCTAACTACTCGTCATAAGGAACAGCCACCCTGATCTACAGGTCCGGCGGTATGCCACTTGTAGAAATGCCCCCCCCAACCACTCATGGGAATAAGTCATAATCATTTCACAATTCAGATCAGTTTGAGTTTGCTGAAGCCGATACATTTTAAGTGTGTCGTGACATCGTGACTTAGTCATGAGATTCCCACTGTCCTGACTCCCGTCTCTGCATCTGTCCGCTCCCGACGCGGCGACTTCATGAGCTGCGACGCGCAGTGGTCTCCTGGCTGGCATCTACGTCCCCCCAGCAGGCTGCCATCATGGGGCCCATCCCGTGCCCTGGGCTGCCTCTCGTGCCTCGGTCTGTCAACCACACCTTCTCCTGAAGGTCATGTCATTCCACTCACGTGTGTCATTTCAAAATGCTGGCATGCAGGCATACTACCATGTGAGTGTCTTCAAACCCTGTGACACAGCTAAGCAGGCATTTTCTCTTTGTAACACATGAGGAGACAGGCCCAGAGAGAGCCCGTTGGCGTGCCTGAACTCAAGCAGGTCATCAGGAAATTGACTCAGCACTAGAACTCGGGCCTCCTGACCTCCACTGAGCCCTGTGCCCACCACAGCATGGGTTTTGGGTGGGGTCTGTTTAAGGCCACTGTGCAGTGATCAGGCAGGGCAGGGAAGGAGTGTGGGCTCCCACACGCCCCCTCACTCTGCCCACAGTTTCTGGATATTTATCCTGGCACAGCCACCAGGCACAACCCTGTCATTCCCTGCAAACCATGGTTCGGGTGGAATGGTTTAACATGAACTCAGGGGGCAGCGCCTTGTTCTGAGGGCGATCAGGCCTGTGAAGAGGGCTGTGGGCAGGCTCCCAAGATGAGTTTGATGTCTGCACAGATCTATACTATGGCAGACCCTTGGTGTTCCTCTAGAGCTTTTAAATTTTATTTTATCTATTTTACTTTATTTTATTATAGAGATGTGGGGTCCAAGTCGGGGTTAGGTAAATAAGTAATCTACGTACAGGTGAAGTTTGGGCCTCCCACTGGTCCTCACACCCCCTGGTTTAGGACCAGGCACACTTTGTGTTGTTACGTGACCCCCTTCCTCCTCCTCCCCCGCAGCATCCAGCAACTGCTGATCCCTCCCTTGTGCTTTTGTGATTAAAGTTCAGGTCCCACTCAGGAGTGAGAACATGTGGTCTTCAGTTCTTTGTTTCTGTGGCAGATTGCTAAGAATGATTGTCTCTAATTCCATTCAATTTGCTGAGAACACGATGGAATATTATGCAGCCATAAAGAAGGGCAAAATTGTGGATGGCTACAGCTTTTAAGAACACCCCTAGCATGCCTGTGTTTTTGGATGATTGAGATTGAACTCTATTCTTTCTTTAATAAGCAGGATTCCAGTGGTCTGCCTTGAATAGCACGTGCTCCAAGCCTCATTCTGACTTTGGTTTGTACCAATGATGTGGTAGTAACCCCCCGTCCCTGCCCCGCTTCACTCTCTGGAGTTTCACTTTCCTCCAGTTTCGCTACCCCCAGCCAACTGTGGTATGAAAATGCTAAATGGGAGATTCCAGAAGTGAATAGTTTATGGGCTTTAGCCCGCGTGCCTTCCTGAGTGGTGTGATAAAATCTCGAGCCGTCCTGCTCCAACAAGAATCTCCCCTTTGTCCAGCGTGTCCACAATGTCTGTTCCCTACCCGAGAGACCCATGGACCAGAGGGACAGTCTTGGTCTCTCAGGGCTTGGGTTCAAGGAGCCCTTAGTTTGCTTAAGAATGGCCCCAAAGCACAAGAGTCTTTTCTGCTGGCATATTATGATTGTTCTGTTTTATTATTGTTACTCTCTCATGGTGCCTACTTTATAATTAAGCTTGAGCATAGGTATGTATACATAGAAGAAGACAACATATATAGGGTTTGGTTCTATCCATAGTTTAAGGCATCCACGGGGGATCTGGGATCTCCCCAGAATAAGGGGGAAATACTGTATTGCTGGAATTGAAGACTCAGATTTTATTTTTATTGTAGTTGACTTAAAAAATGCTTGCACCTATCTATAATCCCAGTGCTCTGGGAGGCCAAGGCAGGAGGATCGCTTGAGCCCAGGAGTTCAAGACCAGCCTAGGCAATATAGTAAAACCTCAGCTCTGCCAAAAAAAAAAAATGGAAAATATTGACCAATTAATCACAAGAAAGGCAAATTTTAGGAAAAAGCAAGTACCCAAAGGACCCAAGTGTTTTGGTAGTAACTAGAGAGATTCTGCTTTAAAGGCCTGGCATGGTGGCTCACACCTGTAATCCCAACACTTTGGGAGGCTTAGGCAGAAGGATTGCTTGAGCCCAGGAGTTTGAGACCAGCCTGGGCAACATAGTCAGACCTTGTCTCTACAAAAAAAAAAAAAAGAAAAAAGCAAAAATTAGCTGGGCGTGGTGGTGCACACCTGTAGTCCCAGCTGCTCAGAGGCTGAGGCAGGAGGATCACCTAAGCCCAGGAGGTCAAGGCTGTGGTGAGCCATGATCATGCCACTGCACTCCAGCCTGGGCGACAGAATGAGACCCCGACTCAAACACACAAAAAAAACTTCTTATTTTTTCCATCTGTCATTCAAACTTAATTCTGTGTGGGTAAGACCAGCACTCTGGACAATGACAGATGACAGCTGTCATTTTTGGTGATGCCTAGTGACAGCCACATGGAAGAAAGTGGGAGCCCTAGGAAAGGGTAAAATCAATCTCCATAAACTCTGAAAGTCTGTAGTGTGTTTTCAAAGTGGGAAATGAGACTTGCTAGCCTAAGTGGCAGTTAAAGAAAGCTGCTGGGTCTAATACAGAATAGTTTTAACCTTTCTCGGCCCCTCTTTCAGTGTCAAATTGTCTTTTGCTTTCCTTCACATTCTTAACGTCTTGTTACAAACTACCAGATGTAACACCAGTACCTTCATGGCTGCAACACCTGGGAATATCATCCGTTCACACAGAAGGAGCCCAGTCTATTCAACTCACCATCCCGTCACTACTGTGGAAAACGATGTCCATCTGGGAAAGAGCCTCCATTTTCCCAGCGTGGGCTTTAATGTGAACACCCCGGGGGGCATCCATGCTTAGACTCCGTGTGGGGGACTCCAGCCTGATTTGAGGAAAGAAGCGAAGAAAAAGCAGTATTAAAAAAAACCATGCCAGCAATCCCTTACCCAATGGCTTAGCACAGAAAATTCCATCAATAAGATACATAGAATCTTCAAACCGTTCTTGATGCAAACACATGGTGCGCTATTCATTGATAAATCCAGAGATAATGTGCAGCAGGAAATAAACTTTCTATCAACGAGTGCCTATGAAATCAGTAGCCAGAAATGTTAGACAGTCCTAATCCTGTGTGGTAGCTTCAGATGGCATGGGTAAGGACTCTGGTATACCATTCCAGAAGAAAATGCCCTTCGTAAATAAGTTCACAAAACTATTTTTGCTCTGTCACCCAGGCTGGAGTGCAGTGTGGTGCAATTGTAGCTCACTGTGGCCCCAAATTCCTGGGCTTAAGTGATCCTCCTGCCTCAGCCTCTGGAGTAGCTATGCCCAGCTTATTTATTTAGTTAAAACACAAGCCTATTTGGGAAAAAATAGGACAGATTTAAAGACAATATTTGCCACCCATTCGTGAGTCAGAATGTAAGTCTGGCCTTTTAGCTTTGTTTGCAGTTTTTGTTTGTTTGGTTTCTTATTTTAGAAAGATGATAGGGCAGATGAAAATATTCCTTTTGGAATAACACTGAAGTCAATAGACAGAATGGAGGCTGGCCTCTGCTGACTTTGCTTTTGTAAAATTCATCAGCCTCTCCTGTGGTTCGGCCAAGCGTAGGAACCGACCGAGGAGTATATGGGCCACCAAAATTCTCTTGCTTGCCTCTGCCTGGAAAAGACGGAATTTCCACCAGGTGGCACAGTGTGATCACTTGAAGGATTTTTCAGCTGTTCAACCCAGAAATTTGAAAAGCTGACTTCGCTGAAATGTTTAAGAGCAATAAGGGAGAGGATAGATAGAAAAAGATGCGTCAGTCCGAAATCCTGCCCACGGAGGGGAGGACTGATGGAAGAAGGGACAGGAGGGGAGACAGGGGAATGGAATTTGCATTTAGAGGGACTGAATATTTACTCGATGGACTTTCAAATCAGAGGCATTGCTGCTTGAGTTGGCAAGTTTTTGTAAATCGCTGTTAAAGAAGAGGAAGTTTCCCTCTCCTATGTGCGTCATCTGAGCATGTAACATTTGACCCGCTACACATTTAGACATCTTGCTTTGGATATGAGAAAACTCTTAAAGACAAGTATGGGACTGAATGGTCAAATTAGGTTGGGCTTAATTTGCAGTAGACACTTTGGTGAACTTCCAAGGCTGGTTGGCCTCTGCTAAGTGGCCATGCTTGTCCTGCCCGGAGGCAAGGGAAAGCAGGACACGGAAGCATCTTTTAGAGGCTGGTCTGGTTCAGGCAAACCTATCGGAATCTCAGTCTCCTCCTCTATAAAATGGGGATAAAACAGCTCCTCACTTGCTTCAGTGAAACCAATTATGTGACAGCCCTGAGCGGGGTTCCTGGTGGTGGGAGGCATTCAGTCAATGTCAGCACACACCTTCCATCCTGACCCCGTTCAAGGATTTCTTTGCAGATTCATTATTTTTTCATTGTTTTGGTTGTAACACTTGGTTTTTGTAGCCCTCCCTTGGCACCAGCTTTTAGAAAGCGAGAGAAACACTCCTCCACTGTTTGTTTTTTAGAGAGAGCTGCTGTACAAGTGAGCAGATGTATGTTGCGATGAGACCACGTCAGGTGAATTATTTAATTTTGAGATCTATCTATTTTCAAACGCTGACATTAGCTTTAGTATGTGGTTTGGTATCTTGACAATTTATATTATTTTATAATTTCAAAATAGTTTTAATAGGATGATTTTCAAAGATATTGAATCATTTTTCTCTCCCAGGAAAGTAAAATGTTATTTTTCCCTAACTATAAAAATTCTTTAATATTGATTTTATGTTCCTTTATCAAAATTAATGAACATTGCTATAATTTAATTATAGCCACAATTTATTTTTATGTTACAAATGTTCTCTAAGTGGGTAAGATAAATTGAACTTATTTGATTGTGATGAATATTTACTCTTATTCTATTTGTTGCGAATATCTACTTAGCGTAATAATGGTTTTAAAAATGATTATCTGTATTTGACTTTTCATTTTACAAAATGCTTTTTTTTTTTTTTTGAGTTGGAGTCTCACTCTGTCGCCCAGACTGGAGTGCAGTGGCCGCTCCCGGCCACCGCAGCCTCGACCTGCTGGGCTCCAGCGATCCTTCCGCCTCAGCCTTCCGAGTAGCCGGAATTACAGGCACGCGCTACCACGCCCGGCTGATTTTTTGATTTACTGTAGAGATGAGGTCTCGCTGCCCAGGCGGGTCTCGAACCCGCAGGCTCAGGCAATCCACTCACCTCAGCCTCCCAAAGGCACGGGATTACAGGCTGAGCCACCGAGCCCGGCCTACAAAATGCTTTTAACATAATATCTTACTAAATCTTTACTAGAATATTCCGGAGTAGGGATTACTATTAGTAATTTTTTATATGAGAAAGATAGTCTGAGCTGGGCTCGGTGGCTCAACCTGTAATCCCGCGCTTTGAGAGGCTGAGGTGAGTGGATTGCCTGAGCCCGCGGGTTCGAGACCCGCCTGGGCAACTTGGCG